AACACATGTATATTAGATAGCTATAGCAGTAGTAGGAAAGTAAAGAGACTGGGGAAGAGGAAACAAACAGATTTATAGTGGTTCGGTTTCAACCAAGCCTACATCCACTCCTCAAGTTTCACTTAAGATTTTTCACTATCTTCTAGCTTCACAGGGGTGCTAGCAACCTCTTTACAAATGGAGCAATCCTCCACAGATTGTACACAGACTTCACAAGCCCAAACCCTTGCAAATCTTAGGTGATTCACAATCACTCTCAATATTTCAAGAACACAGTATTTGCAACACTTTTACAAGATGAAATTGTATTTTTGCTTTCAAAGAAAGCTTACAATAAATATCTCTCAAAGATAGATATATAAAATGAAGTTTTGATTTTTCTGTAAATCTCACACAGGAAAGATGAGCTTAATGTTATAAGGCTTAGTGTATAATTTTTTAGAATAGATGTGAGTGATTATAGATCAAAGAATATTTTCAGGTTTTTTTGTAACTTGTTTACATTAGAGACTTTGGTATATATAATGAAAATTATAGCCATTTATAGTTGTTGTATTCATTTGAATTTATAACCGTTTGTAGCTGTTGTACTTCCATCATTATCAATTTGAATATCTTTCACTCCATCATTACAAATTTGAATATCTTCTACTTGAACCTTTTGAACCTTTTGGCCTTTTGAACGTTTATAGTCGTTGTACTTCCATCATTACTAATTTGAATATCTTCCACTTGAACCTTTTGAACCTTTTGGCCTTTTGAACCTTTATAGCCATTTATAGCCGTTGTACTTCCATCATTACTAATTTGAATATCTTTCACTTGAACCTTTTGAACCTTTTGGCCTGCTGTTGTGCTAGGTTGTTTGAACCTTTGTTTTGGGCGGTATGAACTCCTAATTTAATCAAATATTAAATACATTCTAACAACATTTAGGATAAAAGTTTAGGTGAGAAATATTGGGACAAAATAAATTTTGATTCTATTTTTCTCTTTCAAATAAATCATCAAAATAAATTTTGATTCTATTTTTCTCTTTCAAATAAATCATCAAAATAAATTTTGATTAAAATATAATTAAATAAATCATCAAAATAAATTTTGGATTCTATTTTTCTCTTTCGAATAAATTAAAACATAATTAAATAAATTATCAAAATAAATAAGTCTAACAAAGAGAATTAAAAGAATCCCTAGCTCTTGGAGAGAAGAGAAGAACCAAGAAAAAAAATTCCCAAATTTTGAACTCGTTGAAATTTCAATTAGTTCGGTCAAAATATAATCCTCGACACGCTCATCAATTTGGTCCAAAGAACTAGTATCAAAATCTTGCTTGATCTTGTTGAATTGATAAATGTGTGAGGTTGGTGGGTGTTTTAGAGAGAATAAAAAGAGAAATAGAGTGACAGAGATAAAGATACAGAGAGTGAAAAGAAATGAAGAAAAATTGAGGGACGACATTAGCTTATTGAGTTCAGGCACAAAATTGAGGCTAAACCGTGCCTGGTTATATGTGCAGAGGCCCCTTGCTGCATGTGCAGGACTCCTCCACTGCACGTGCGATTTACTGCAGTGTGTTGCTCCTCTGCTATTCCGCCTTGCCGCTCATACGAACCCAACCCAACGCACGTACAACCCCAAGCCCAAAACCTATATCATCATCTACACCAATCCGTACGTGCGGCAGCACCTGCTCAAGCCTAATTCTTTCCAAGGTGACTTCACATTTTTGTAGGTTTTGAAGGTCACTCAATAAGTCCGAAAAGGCACACTCAAGTCGAGTCAATAACCCAAGACATCACACCCTGTGTAGAAATCCATTTTCAAGTGTTAACGGTATGCCTCTGCCGAGATGAAGGCCATGGAGGATTTTGGGAGCTAAGGCTCGCTATAGACGCTATGTCTTTTTGGAGATAAGCATTTCCACCCAATGTTGTATCAACTTGGATCTGAGAGTCGCCATTTAATTTTAAAGGGAATTAAGAAACTTTAACAATGAAAACTAAGTATAAGACCTGATCCGCCATAACCAAATAATTGAGGTTTAGGAACTAAGGTACAAAGTGGGAAGGTCATTGAATGAAAATACCCCATTTTGCCCAATCCGAAGATTGGCTTCTACTAACTCTCTATTTTGTGATTTTAGTAATTAAAGGTTTCACAAACTTCATTATTGACCCTAAAAACCATTACTAAACCTAAAACTAATTGATGAAATAAATAAATATCACTCAACTTAGACCCATTGAATACAGCCACATTTTCATAAAACGATCATATTTTTCATCAAAAACAACTTTTTTTAACCTCTAATGGCTATAAACAAGATCTAAACTAAGCCATATTCATAAAAACATCCAAAATGCACAATTTTGCATATATATATATATATATATATAAAAGACTTGGATTATTGAAAACAATATATATATATAAAAAGACTTGGATTATTGAAAACAATGCACCAACGACACGCACATGCCATGAAAAGAAGAAAAAACTCACCGGATTCCACTGCGAAGCGTCTTACCATGCATGATATGAATAAAACAAAACATGATGATCCTAAACATGCTACTAAACATACAAATATGCAACCCAGGCCCAGTTTAAGGGTACTAATATGATTTAATGTAAATAAGGAAAATAACAAATAAATAATGCTAGACTAATATGCATGATGTTTAAATCGAGCCTCAAACATGTAGATATGAAAACTACAACATCCTAAGCATGTTGTTTATATAACTCAAACAAAACATGCAAAACTATGAGACTACGTGATGAACTTGTGAGACTAACACCCCAACATGATTAAGTACTGAAACAAGAGACTAAATTACTGAAGTAAATTAAGAATAGCAAACTTACTTGTTGTTTTGCAAAAAACACAAGAATGAAGCAAGAAAAGCTGAGAAATGCTTTAGAATCCTTCCTTGAAGCTTTCCTCGGGCTTCGGCTTCACTTTAGTTGTTTAATTCAGACCTTAGATGCACTTTAGGTTTGTTAGAAACTGCTGCTAGGGTTAAAAAATTTAGAGCTAAGGGTTTTGGGTGAAGATAAATGATGTTTCTCTCTTAAAACACTCAACACTTAGCCAAAATGTTCACCTCGCTCAAAGAGGGGGGGAGAGAGGGTGCGTATAGGGTGAGGGAGAAGGTTCTAGAATGCTTTAGGTCACCCTAAAACTCACTCAACACCGTCGATAGGTTGTGCAGCCAGACAAGCTTCTCGCGCAGCTTGTGTGACCGTGCGGGCCATGTGTGGCTAGGCCCCTAGGTGCGAGCACACATGCCTTTAACACATGCAAACCATGCATGCATGCACAAGTACGTGGTTTTTAGCTTTTAGACCCTCCATTTGCCTAAATAGGTCTGTTTGACTTGTAATTGACATTTTTATGTAAAATAAGTCTATGTTTTGAAAATATCTATCAATTCAAACTCAAACAGACCTCTACCTACCTCCTTAGTGGACATCAGAAAAGTTAATTTGGAAAAAAATAAAATAAAATGGGTTCAGTGGAAAAATGGTCATTTTAATATAAATATAATTTTAGGCCAAAATGGGGTTACACAGTAGTTCTTGCCAACCCTAAGTATCTAAAGAATAAGAAATTACCATTTCATCATTAGGAAGCTCACAAGCACCCAAAATCCTAGGGTTCATCAAAATTGGAGTGTCTATACTCGTTTTTTGTGAATTTTTTGTAAAGCCTAGTGCTTAACTTGTTTTGGGTTGAAACCCCTATTTTAAATTGTGTAAGGGCAAGCACTTTGAAAATGTGTAAGCCTTAAGGGCATTTATTTTGAATATTGTTTCAGTTGAATGTTTATCATATGACATGCTATAGATTCATACTTGTTGAGTTATGAATATATTAGTGCATGTGATCCATCTCTTATATATTAGGTATTTATATACATATGAAATAAAAGAGATTGATATATATACATATATATATATATATATATATTATGACTATTGGCTTATATTGAGATCTTGTTAGCTTCCACATGTATAAATTCTATTTTTTAATCTTTGAACAATTGAGGGTGTTACAAAGAGAGACAAAGAGAGAGAAAGAGACAAAGAGAGACAAACAGACAGACGGATAGATTTGGGATTTAAACTTATAAGACTATTTGCGCCTACTCTTTTAAGAGGAAATGGAGGCACTGTTGCTATGATAATTTAATAAATGTTATTCACACATAATTGGGCATTAGGATGATGTGGTAGCAATATTTATGTAAATAAATGTTATTTCGGTGTGCACTTTTTTTTTTTTGATCGGCAAAGAAAAATTTCATTAAAAACATGAAATTTACAGGTTCAAGAAAATAAAACGCACTGAGAGAGATTCGAAGAGTAAAAATTCACTCTCCTACTACTGCTACTCGCGTTCTTACAACCAACCCCTAGCCTCACGATAAGTTATTTCGGTGTGCACTTGATTTCAAAATGATAAGTTATAGTGTTGCCACAACATTTTGTATACCTTCTCTTCTTTCTTTTTTTTCTTTTTTTTTTGGCGCATTATTACTCAATTTTTTTTTAAATGACCAATGGTAATCACGGAAAGTTATAGGAGATAAGCATTTTTTGGTACCCACAAAAGTACTTGGAATTTTGTCCAAGAAAATAATCTGTTGTTTAAATTTAACTCTTGTATAACAAGATTCACAGTTAATGAACTTGGATCATATGCTACATTTTGAGTAAAGGTATGGATACTTTAGTAGCTGCCTAGAATTACTATACAAAAGAATATTGAGTTTGACACTAATTCTCTTTCTACAAATTCTTTGTATCATGTTGGATCCACTTATACATAAAGTACATGATACGTAAAAGTAAAATACTGATTGATGGATTTGTTTATACTTCAATTCTCTTTCTATGGAGAGTTTGTGTTGTTTTAGGACATTTGATCTGAGTCCTCAAACTGATTAGACTTAAGACTTATTTGCCGAGCACAGATGGCTTACACCCCACCCTTAGCTACGAACTGTCGAGTTCATAATAGATTGCTCTTCTTGTTGACTCATGCTATCCGGCGTTAAAATCCCTCCATCATGTGGCCCTAGCCCTATATATTGCTGAACTACTAGAATAGATGATGTTGCTGCAAAATCTGATGATCCTAACAAATCACCAATTACTCCAAGCTCGGGGCACTCATTCCACTCATTGAGTCCTGCTGTAAGTGTCGATTCTATTCCATCTCCTCTACCAACTATGAAGAGGTCATGAATTTTGTCCACTGACCTTATTGCCTCCATGGTCTCTTCCCCATTGTTCACAACTTTTTGTTTGTAAGAGTATGATTCATCATTTTCCTTTAGTATCCTGAGCTCTTTTATGTAGTCATCATCTAGTTGCTTGTCTTTCTCTTTGTCTATTTCCAGTGACAAAATCTCAAGATTCTTAATATCATCATGGCTTGGGTCCACAGTTCTATCAACTACCTCAAGCCCTGGAAGGAAACGAATAACAGTAAGGCTATTCCTAGGATGTTCAGACATCCTCACTGCAAACGATAGTGCCTCTCTGTCATGTGGTCCACCAAAGAATAGCACAACAATGTTGTGAGATACTTGGCCAGAAGGCAAGCGTATCAAGCCACTTAAGCCCCTATCAATTAGAATGCCAACTGAACAAGGAGCATTTGCTAGTACATTTCGATTCACCATTTGAAATTTTGGGTTGGGAGCTTCCATTGCACCATTAACCATTTGTTGTTTATGAAAAGGAATAATGATGAAGGCAGCATGTTTATCCTCTGCCAAGTTGCAAATTTCTTCATGCATTGTTGAGTAAGGGGAAATGGTTGTGAAGGATTGGACATAGACAGAATTTGTATGATGCCTAAAAATCTCAAACTCATGTATAATGTTGTCAGATTGAGCTTGCATTTTATTGAGGGTTGTTGTTTCAAACTTTTTACAGCTATGGACGATGAGGGTAGTAGATGCATGACCAGTTAGTTCAACTAGGTGGAGTGAAAAAATAGATATTGGAGATTTCTTCGTGGGGTGGGAAGCTTCAAGCAGATTGATAATTGTTGGAACATTCTGAGGAGTGTGGATGCATGCTAGTATTCGTAACTCAGAATCTGCTTTTGTCTTTTGAATTGTTCTTCTTTTGTAAGGTACAAATTTCCTTGCTGGACTATAAATTTTTACTAGAATAGGTGTGATGATTGCATTCATAAATATAGTTGTGATCACCATGATTGCATATGCTGTATCATCTATAGTCTGCACAAGATTGGTATTTTTAAATGTCATGACAACGGAAAAACAAATGCCTGTATGCACGTACACGTGGGAAAAACATACTATACCTTTTGATCTTTCCCAAGATTGAGCGCAATCAATCCAATGAGTCCTTTGGTGTTCATGAGCAAACCGAGTGCAACTCCTTCACGAAAAGGTGCCTCGTAAAAAAAGGCAACAAGGACAGTTCCAGCAACTTTGCTAGCAAATGAGAGAATAATTACTAATATGAGAATAAACCATGTGGAGGCTTCCAGGACTTTTGAAAGATTAGTCTTAAGCCCACTAATGGCAAAGAATAGAGGGATCTGACAACTCATTACAAAGTCTTCAAGCTTTTCTACTAGGGTGATTGTAAGTGGCCCATTTGGAACAATCAAGCCAAAAACAAAAGCTCCAAAGGTAGGATGCACTCCAATGGCGTCTGAGATAAGACTAGAGAACATAACCCCAGAAAAAATAATGGATGTAGTCAGGTCGTTAAAGCTTTTATCCTTTGGGTTTCGCAGTATGAGCCATGTGATTGATGGTTGAACAACCAAAATGAAAAAAATAATAAAAATTATGCAAGATATGATTATCCATAGGGAAGTCATGAAAGAGTTTTTTGTCGACTCTGCAAAGGAAACGACAAATACTAAAAGAGCCACCCCAAAAGCTTCATTAATAAGAGCAACTAGCTTAGCTTTTTTGCCAATCTCCATGTCGAGAAGTTTGAGCTCTCCAAGGATTCGTGCAAGCACAGGCAATGATGTGATAGAGAGAGATATAGCGAAAAAGATTATGAATGTACCTCCCTGGATGGTCGTTTTTTTTTGTAGGAAAGAGGAGAAGGCCCAACCTATAAGTAACGGTAAAAACATACCAACACTTGCGAAGGCCAAAGCCTTTTTTCCATTTTTTCGAATGGTTGAGAGGTCCATCTCTAGTCCAATTTTGAACACAAAGTAAATGGCACCCACATTAGCCATTGTCTCAAGCAATTGCAAACTAACTTTGTCAAACATCTTCTTTCGAAACAATTCAGATTGTCCAAGTACTGATGGACCCAAAATTATGCCTGCCTGAAACCATTGAGTAATACAGATATGAAACAATATTAGTGTTTAATCGTAACAAATTACATGCAAACTCAAAGAACGTTACTCGATTGATTAAACCAATGATACGTTGTGTAAGGTATGTAGCCACATAATATATTAATACCATAATGTGCACATATTTTGTATGAGGTATGTCTTAACTCCCTTAACATGAGTTTGTTACTAATGAAATTTGTATTGAATTTAGAAACAAAATGTGATAAATGACATAGATTAATTTGTTTTGCATCACAATCACAATGAAAAACATGCATGCATGCAATGCACTTACGATAAACTCACAAAAGACTCGAGGTTGGTGGAAAGGTTTAAGAATAAACATGAGGAGACGTGTGACAAGAAGAATCAACATGGTTTGAATGATGAAGGCAGGGAGAGCATAGGTCATTGGATCCTCATTCAACCATATCCCGATTGTTGTTATCCTGTTTGATGGATAACATACTGTCTCACTTGCTAGCAACCCTGGTGCTATCAAGATTGGTGGCATCTCTAGTTTCCCCATTATTAGTATTGCTTGTATATCACTTGATCTTCATCCAACCACCACCACCTCCTTAGTCTTAACCTTGTAAATAATTTGGTACTCAAACTGCTACCTTCTCCTTCTCTAGCACCACATCTAACATTAACGAATTTAACAAGAGAGATTGAATCTAAAAAGATCAGTCTTTGTTACTATTTTTAAACATTGTGATTATAAAAGGAAAGTATAGTTCAATTATGCTATTTCGGTTGTCCCACCCTATTTTGGTTCTTCAATGCATTAACAAACTAGCATAATTTAGGTTAGTCTTAAACCTTTGAAAGTCAAATCTAAGAATTTTACCACTTTTTTCGTATTATTGTTATTGTCATATAATTGATTATTTAAGGAATATTCTCATAATTGTGATGTTTACAGCTCATAAGTGCTTATAAGCCAACAAATAAGCTAAGACCATAAGTGTATCACCTTACAATTAAAGTAACAAAAATAAAGAAAAATAAATGGTGACATATACTTTTGATTACATTATGTACGATTATGTCTAGATGGCCTAAAATAATAGTTCTTGTATGACAATTGTTTCCTAAATTTATCTTGGCTTAAAATTTTCCTGCTATTACACTTTGGTTTAGCAATAACTTTGTTGGTTTTTTATGTTCTGTTGTACCTAATTTTGCAACTTTTGAAATAAAATTATTTTTTTAATTAAAAAAATTAATGTTATCTAAAAAATTATAGGGGGGAAAAAACAACATTAAAAGAAGAAAAAAATAAGTCAATTTTAAAGCCACAAAATTAGAATTTTTTTTTTTTTTTTTTTTCTCTTCGGTGTGTGTGGTGTTGACTGGTATTCATATTCTAAGGATCCTATCATTAGATTAAGTCAAACTTAGCTGGGTTTTTAAGATAACTATAAGGCATTAGATAATGATTTTGGGTAAACTATCAATAGGTCCTAATAGTTGAACTTAATTCTCATTAAGTCCTATTGAAAGCCAGTCTTAATAAAATTGTCGCTAATTTTTTTTTTCTTTTATGCTTTTTTACATATGATGCTAAAAATTGACAGTTAGTGACATTTTTTTGTCATGATCATTATTAATTGTTGCTAAAACTTACCATTAGTGACTTTTTATGTGACGAATTTTTCAAATTGTCAATGAAAGTTGAAAATTAATGACTTTTTGTGACAATTTTTTTAAATGGTCGCTAAAACTTAAAATTGGTGACGTTTTGCATGACAAAATTTTCAAATGGTTTCTGAAAATTAACAAGATATTTTTTAATAGTGTTTGATTAAAAACATCATTAATTACCATAGAACCTATTAGACAATAAGTCCACTTATTAGAACCTGCACATAAGGCCTCATTTGGGAAGGGTCCCGTTTAGCCAAAAAGTCACTAAAAAAATCAAAAAGTCAACAACTCATACAAAAAAGTCAAAGATTCTCTTTTCTCTCTACTTTTTGCACATATTTTCGTAAAAAATCAAAAAGTCATTCCAAACATACTATTTTTTTTAGCTCATATTTTAGTCAAATAATCAAAAAGTTACTAAATTAGCATGTTCTCAAACGAGACCTAAGTCTCCCATGATTATTTTGACCTCTCAAAAAGGAACATTTATGTAAGATCATGTTTGGATACTATTGTTTTGACTAACATGTTACAAAATGTAGCTAAGGTTGAACCATTAAATATATTTGTGGACATAGGAATTTTGAGGCTACCATTTTTACAAGAATGGGCCAATAATGTCCCAAACACAACCAGAGGTATCTCTTTTCATTTTTAGGAGTCGCCACCTAGTTATAACTCCTAAAAAACCATATATATGAGCTTTCAAGGATAGGCACATGCCCCATCACGACAAAAAGATAATGAGCTCAAGGACTAAGTTATTAAGTGAGAAGGTGTTAGACACCCACTTAGCCTAACTAGTCTAACCATGTCGTTAGTCTCTGTTACGCATTGGTTTTGTGTTATAATTAAACTTTAAATAAATTTCATAGATATTTACATGGTATAAACAAATAATGAAGCAAACGAAATGAGTAGAAGGAAACATTGTGACAAGTTTAAAATGATGAAAGAAACTAAAGTAACATGGCATTCCTACCCATAGCATTAGAAAGGATATCACAATGCAAATGTAACGTTCAAACATAAAGTCGAATTCGTTGCTTGCCACTAATCATACAAAAATGCATTTCTAGATATAATAATTACAAGGAAAATCTTGTTGGGATTTATACCATATCCTATCAACACGAATGGAAGCATACCATGTACACACAGTACACACCAAAGAGAAAAATCAATCATGCACAGATTTATATGGTTCAGTCCAAATTACCGACATCCACAGGAGAGAGAGAGAGAGAGTTTCCACTATAAATAAAATAGAGAAGACATATGAGATCACCAAAAATACTCCAAACCCACACCACTACCCAAACCCCATGCTCAAGGGTAGTTGAGCCCTCGCTCATCTCGATTCCCATACACCTCAACCTCTTAACTTCTTTCAGAGAAAACCCGTAGTCCACATGACTATTTATAATAGTCTACCAATGAGAATCCTAATTCCAAACAATTAGGTAACTAAATCCTACAAATATTAGGATTCCTTGTAGATTCTGAAATCTACTATCAAATACATGTTAAACCAACCTAATAACTTATAAGACCCACATTTATCACATGGGTGGATTAATCATAACAATCACCCCCTCCACTTCTCTAGCATAAATGTTATATGCACCCTCAAACTTGGATGTCCTGGTTTACGTGATACACTCCACCTTCACCTAGAAGATATTGTACCCCCTTGAACTGATTGTCCACGTTACACCTTACGTAATAGTGCTCAAAGCCTTCTTCATAACTTCCTTTGTCCTCATGCTCGAGCAGATGAGATCCACTACACCTCCCTAAGGTGTCTTTACTACCACAAATTAAACCTCAGTACAAAGAGACTTGCGTCCTACCTCGGTGTATACTGTAGATACCCCATTTTGACCGCCCTTTAGGCTTGGGCGCCTCAGGTTGATCACTCGATGATGAAATACTACGTTGTACATATGCTTAATTTTCTCAGCAAGAACCATTGGTTCTTGAGTTTCTCAGCCTAGAACCTTGCACCAACTTTGGACCAAAACCTATTTTTTTCCAAGCTTGACCACCCAGAGGGCTATTGGCCAACAAGTGGCCGGCTAGCTAGAAATTAGTAGCCGGCCGACCAGGTTTCTCGGCTAGCAGATATTTTGTTGCCAGCTGTTCCCCCATGTGCATGCACTGCACCAGCTAGCTCAATATAGATATTTCCAACAGAAGCACCTATGTTTCTATATATACATGACCATCCCTCTTGATTTTAGGTTAGAAAATTTTCATAAGTGACCAAAACTTGTGAAACACTCTCCCTCTCTATCTTGTAATATACATACACTCTATATACACTTCCTAAACCAAATTTTTGACTCTATATACACTTCCTAAACCAAATTTTTGAGTCTCCATGTTGAGGTTTTTGAGCTAAAATCTCAACCCTTGAAAGTGAAAGCCTTATGGTTTGTGAACAAAAGAGTAACCTTTCTTCAAGAGGAATAACTTTGGCCATCTTTATACTACTTCTTTCTTCTCTTTTCTTGTTGCTTTTGTACTATTTTAAACTGTTTTTATGGACTGAAACTTGTGACTCAAAGCTACCAAAGGTGGAGGGGTTAACCACTCTTCTTTGAACCTCATTCTCTAAGCTTTTGTCCTCGTGTTTCCCACTTCTTTCTTAAATTTTGGTCATTGATTTTCAGAGTTTTAAAAAGACTTAAATATGTGGTTTTGAGGTCTAAAAAGTAGAGGGGTTATCCACTATAGACACCCCATTTTTGGCGGCCCTTAAGACTTGGGCCCCTCAGGTTAATCACTCGATGATGAAATGTTACGCTGTATGTACGCTCAAGTTTCTCAACAAGAGCTTCAGTTTTCCAACTCCAGAGCCTAGATTTATGCATCATCTTTGCACCAAACCTGTCTCGGTTTCCAAAAACTTATTTGTTTCATACCTGACCACCCAGAGGCCTGTAGGCCAACAGGTGGCTAGCAGGCCAAAATTTAGTGGTCGGTCGTCCACTTCATGGCCGGCCAACCATGTTTTCCTGCTGGCAGATATTTTGTTGCCAGCTATCCCCCCAAGTGTATGCACTGCACCAGCTACCTCTATACAGCTATTTTCGACAGAGGCTTATGTTTTTCTATATATAGATGACCACCCCTCTTGAAATTAGGTTAGAAAAATTCCTGAAGGCCAAAAACTCGTAGAACACACACACACTCTCTCTCTCTCTATTTCTATCTTACAACCTACACACTCTCTCTCTACACTTCCTAAACCAAAAACTTAGCTCTTCTTGTTGAGGTTCTTGAGCTCAAATCTCAGCCCTTGAGAGTTTGAGAGTGAGAACTTGTGGGTTTGTTAACAAAAGAGTTACCTTGCTTCAAGAGGTATAATTTTAAACATCTCTACACTACTTCTCTCCTATCTTTTCTTGCTATTTTTGAAATGTTTTTATACTATTTTTATGGGTTGAAACTTATGGTTTAAAGCTATCTAAGGTGAAGAGGTTAACTACCCTTCTTTAAACCTTGTTTTTCCAAGTTTTTGCCCTTGTGTTTCCCATCTCTTTTTCCAACTTTTTTACATTGATTTTTGGAGGTTTTTAGAGGCTAAAAATTTTGTTTTGAAGTCCCAAAAATCGAAGGGTTAGCCACCCCTCCTTTGGCTTGTTCGCTAGCTTCATTTCTCTATTGTTTTAGTTAACTTTTTTTAGCTTTTCCATGTTAATTCCAGCACTGTTTTAGCTTATTTTAGGACTGCTTTTATGTGTTTATTTCATTCATGTTTTGTATAGTAGGCTTGTATGTTAATTCCAACACTGTTTTAGCTTATTTTAGGACCGTTTTTATGTGTTTATTTCATTCATGTTTTGTATAGTAGGCTTGTAGTGTAATGGT